TTTTTTTTTTTTTTTTTTTTTAAATTCCGTGAACCATTCTGAAGGGGTGAATGCCTTGAAGCCTTGAAAGCACCCATCCCCACCCTATGGCTCCCACTGTTAAGCGCTGAGAATCCTGAACGATCCTGAAGAGGTGAATGCCTTCAGTGGTCTGAAAGCAGGGAGTCGAATGAAGGTGCGAGGGCTTTCAAGGCCTTCAACCCTTCATGATAGTGAGAGCCAAAGGGGGGGTTGCTTTCAGGCCGTTCAGGGCATTCACCCCTTCAGGATTGTTCATAGTCTTCATGATGTTTTTTTTTTTTTTTTTTTTCGTGAACCTGCGTAGCATCTCGTTCGGACTCGGTGACCGAACCCGAACGCTCGGTACCGAGCCCAAACGTAACCCAAAATCGACCGAGCCCGAATGTTTTTATTTTTTTTATCGTTTTTATTTTTTTTAAACATATATAGGGGTTGAGGGACCCCTGGGGGCATTGCTCATCACTCTTGAACATATACACACACACACACACCACACACACGCACACGTACACACCCTGTACACACCCTACACACACCCCATACACCATACACACACGAGCACGCGTTCGGTAGCCCCCTTATTTGCGCCCCGCCGAACGCGTTCGGTTCCTGCTCGGCCAAGCGTCCGAACATGTTCGGCTGCTCGGTGAGGCTCCGAACATGTTCGGTGTGCTACACAGCCGTGAACCATCCTGAAGGGGTGAATGTCCTGACGGCTTGAAATCCCCCCCCCCCCTGTGGCTCCCACTTTTAAGCGTTGAAGATCCTGAACAATCCTGAAGAGGTGAATGTCTTTGGATGGTCTGAAGCAAGGAGTCAAGTGGAGGTACGCGGGCTTTCAAAGCCTTCACCCCTTCATGATAATGAGAGCCAAAAGGGGGGTTGCTTTCACGTCGTTCATGGTATTCACCCCTTTAGGATTGTTCATAGTCTTCATGATGTTTTTTTTTTTTTTTTTTTTTTTTTAATCCGTGAACCATCCCGAAGGGGTGAATGCCCTGAAGGCCTGAAAGCAAACCCCCCCCCCCTATGTCTCCCACTGTTAAGCGCCGAGGATCCTATAGCTCCCACTGTTAAGCGCTGAGTATCCTAAACCATCCTTAAGCGCTGAATGCCTTCGGTGGTCTGAAAGAAGGGAGTCGAATGGAGGTGCGAGGGCTATCAAGGCCTTCACCCCTTCATGATAGTGAGAGTCCAAGGGGGGGTTGCTTTCAGGCCGTTTAGTGCATTCACCCCTTCAGGATTGTTCATAGTCTTCATGATTTTTTATTTATTTTTTCTTTTTTTCCCGTGAACCATTCTGAAGGATGAAGGCCTGAAAGCAACCCCCCACCACCCTATGGCTCCCACTGTTAAGCGTTGAAGATCTTGAACGATCCTGAAGGGGTGAATGCCTTCGGAGGTCCGAAAGGAGCGTCCGTTCCCACCTTTGTTCTCCAGTGTTGTGTCGTTTTGGCATCCTAAACAATATGAACGATCCTGAAGGGGTGAATGCCCTGAAGGCTTGAAAGAACCCCCCCCCACCTTATCGCCCCCACTTTTAACCTTGAGGATCCTGAACGATCCTGAAGGGGTGAATGCCCTGAAGGCCTGAACGACCCGCCCCCCACCTTATGGACCCATTGTTAAGCTTGCGGATTGTGAACAATCCTAAGGGGTGAATACCCTGAAGGCCTGAAAGCAACCCCCCCCACCGTATGACTCCTAGGTTAAGCTTGAGGATCCCGAACGATTGTGAAGGGGTGAATGCCCTGAAGGCCTGAAAGCACCCCCCCCCCCACCGTATGGCTCCCACTGTCAAGCTTGAGGATCCTGAACGATCCTGAAGGGGTGAATGCCCTGAAGGTGAATGCCTTTGGAGGTCTGAAAGGAGCACTCATCCCCACCTTCTTGTTTCTAATGTTGTGTCGTGTTGGCATCCTGAACAATGTGAACGATCCTGAAGGGGTGAATGCCCTGAAGGCCTGAAAGAACCCCCTCCCACCCTATGACTCCTACTGCTAAGCTTGATATCCTGAACGATCATGAAGGGGTGAATGCCTTGAAGGCCTNGGGGCTTTGCCCTTGCGTCTCAATCCGAGGTGCGGACCCTCATGGCTTATCGGATCCAAGCGAAAGACATTGTTAGGTGGGGAGTTTGGTTGGGGTGGCACAGTGGTTTGAACAAGAAAAGAAAACGAAAAAGACAGAGAGTCAAACAGTCAATCAAACATATTGATTGATTGATTGATTGATTGGGTGTGTGTGTGAGTGGAGGGGGGGGGGGGGGGGGGGGGGGAGAGACACAGAGAGAGAGAGAGAAAGAGAGAGAGGGCGTCTGCTCCTCTCCCCCTCCACCCCCCTACTCTGTGAAATAACTTGGGAGATGTAGAATAAGTGGGAGTTTTAGGGCGTAAGTGAAAGACCACTGCTCTTAACGTTATTGGCCTATTGGATCCAAGTAAAAGACATTGTCATGTGGGGAGTTTGGTTGGGGCAACACATTTGTTATTAAAAAAAAAAACAATCAATCAATCAATCAATCAATCACATTGATTGATTGATTGGTTGTGTGTGTGTCTGTGTGTGTGTGTGTGTGTGTGTGTGTGTGTGTGGAGTTTTAGGGCGGAGAGAGAGAGAGAGAGAGAGAGAGAGAGAGAGGGGGGGGGGGGGGGGGGGGGGGGGGGGGGGGGGGGGAGGGGGCATCTGCTCCTCCCCCCCACCCCTGCTCCGTTAAATCACTTGAGAATGTAGAATAAGCGGGAGCTTTAGGGCGCAATTGAAATATCACTACTCGTAACGTTATTTTACTTATTTTATCAGGTGGAGCGGGGGCTTTACCGCTGCGTCTTGATCCAAGGTGCGGACCCTCGTGGCCTATGAGATCTAAGCGAAAGACATTGTAAGGTGGGGAGTTTGGCTGGGGCGGCACAATTGTTTGAGAAACAAAACTGCAAAATTATAGAGTGCTACAACAGGTGAATATATTTCTTGTGGTCCTTCGTTAAAATGTATATTTAATCGAAATAAATGTGTTAAATAATTAAATTGCTCAACGAGAACAACAGTCTCATATGGGGTAAAAGAGCAAAAGGTAATTCGATTTTGCTCTTCAACACGAAGACCAGTTATGAGAGCATGTTCTATCGACCCTCTATTGTTTGAAGACCAACTACTGGAGGCATCCAAATAACTACCGTTGGCAACAATGGGCTTATGCCAGTGAGATGTTCATATCGACGTCTCTTATTTGATCCTTAGATGTTGGCTCTTCGTATTATTGCAACGCTGGATTCGTCAAGTGTTTGAATCTTAATGGTTGACGAGTGTCACGCCATTTGATTAAAGATCCGCATTAATTGGAATAATGAGATTCCTTTTCTATTTCAAAATCTCATAATCATCCTCGTGACGCAGTCGTGCGTCCTACCGATTTGGATGCTCATAATCATCATTTGTGCAAATCATCATCTTCATCATCACTATCATTATCATTGTTTGCGACATCATCAACGTGTTTTTATCCATAACTTCGTCGTTCCACCATGGGAACAATCAAGAAGACCCTTTAGCGGTATCATTCAAGACCTTCTTTGACAAGAGGAATGACATTTATTGCTCCATGGCGACGGAGAGCGCAATATTGTCCTCTACACTCTCTAATACTAACCCTTCCCTTCCAACTTGCCGTTTTACTCCAAAGATCGTATATTTTTGTTGTTTCACACATTTCTTGTCACTTCTCTTGCTCGACCCTCTTTACTTTTGTTCATTGTCATTCCTCTCCTCCTCCTCTCATCCCTCCTTCTCCTCGCCCTCCTCCTTCTCCTCCTTTTTTTTTCCCCTCTTTCCTCCTCCCCCAAAACCCTAACTATTGATATATACAAACTGAAGTTCGAATCCTCGGTGTGAGAACTAAGAACAAATAACTCTTAATCAAATGTACAAAATAATAATGAAATTTTACTAGATAATAGAAAGATACATCACCATATTTTAAAACTTAGTTTCTCCGTTGTGGATACTAATTGTCTTTATATTAGTATGCACCTTCGATCACGTTTCATTTTATTTGGAAATTGATAACTCATTTTATTTTCGTGAGAGAGAGAGAGAGAGAAAGAGAGAGAGAGAGAGAGCAACTAGGTCAGAGATAAATGGGATGTTGCTTTTTCAATGTCATAACAATTCTCGTTTCGTCCCTCTCCCGACTCGGAGTCAATCGTGCAACAAACAAAGTCGTGGTCGGTAGGTGCATACGAATTTGTCGTTGTGAACACTTGTTGTCTTTATATTAGTATGCACCTACCACGTTTCATTTTGTCTCTTGCGCCTTTCTGCAGAGCATGCTCAACCTGATTCGTAGAAAATCATGCAGATATTTTGATCGAGAATAACACAACCATGAAATCTACAAATTCAACAAATTCACAATTTGACTATAAACAACATGAGGTGTACATGAAGATGGTGACTCTGTTTTTGTGCATGCTTGATTTGCAGGGACGACTGGTTGCAGTAGTGCATGAAACAAGTATGTAGTTCAATCTCATTAGTGAATTGTAATTCACGCGAGTACTTGGAGTGTGCGCGCAATTCGGAGTAGTCATTGGGGCTCACGACACATGCGGTTTTCACCCGGGGTCACCTTTGTTTTTTTTGGAACACGAAATGCGAACAATTTTTGTGTTGAGCCATTTGGTGTTGTGTGCGAGAATGTGGGATTATCTGGGACCATTTGGGACCAGTTGGAATTTATTTGAGGTTCGTGATTTTGGATCATGTGCGGTTTGCGCTCCCACATTTGAAACTACTCAGAGTGGAGTGATGGAAGGTGGTTATGGACCGCGATTTGATTTGAGATAATCCTTGGGGGCTGGTCCAATTGAGATTGCATTGGGGTCATCCGGGATGATGTTTGGATCAGGTGAGACTTATTTTTTAGAACACCTTCTTCGAGGTTTATCTCATAAAGTTCTTCCAGTGGATCCAACATTGATTTGTTCAGGTCAAAGGAGAAGGACGTGAGTCATAAATCGGTCGGAAGGGTCACAACTTGTGCGATTGTTCCTTGCACATTTTTGCTTTTAACGACAGTTAATCTTTTATTTGATTGAGACAGTATCTCGACTTTGTTAAGTGAGTCGATTCAAACTTCACTCAAGGTCAGTTGAATGACTCAAACGTTCCTTCGCACCTGTGTGGACCTACACTTATTTAACCCTGTTCATTGAATGTTTGTTGAAAAGGCAAAGGGAATATGTGTTTTTATGTGAATTGAAAGGTCTGACTTTGGTATGGGGTTGCATTGGATCCCTTTGAATTTGTTTGTTTTGTGTAATGTGCAGGTAGGTAGAGGGATGTTTGGAAAGAAGATGATGTCTGTCTCTTATACACATCTAGATGTGTATAAGAGACAGGTGTCGAGGTCATTTCGCGGTGATGGTTGGGGTTATGCCCGCTCCCGATCGTCATAGAGAGATCGATAGATATGTAGGTAGATAGAGAGATGGATAGATAGATGTATTAGATAGATAGGTAGGTAGATACGGAGGTAGATAGACAGATGGATAGACTGATAGATAGATAGATAGATAGATAGATAGATAGATAGATAGATAGATAGATTGATTGATTGATTGATTGATTGGTAGATTGATAGATAGATAGAGAAGACTTCTACTACTTCTTTGTCGACGCCTTCTCGAGCGTCGTTTGTTGTTACGTGAATATGCATCACGCTCTTAGTTTGTTCTACTACTTCTTTGCATGAGGCTCTTAGTTTCTAACACATTGCTTTTCTTAGTTTGTAAGTGCAAGTTGTACACCTGCTGCATGCGTGAGCCAGTAACTAGTGCGGAACAGCAACATCGTGTTCCACTACTTTTGTGACTCCGTCCATCGGCACGCCACATCCGGATCTGTCATTGTTTTTCCTGTCACGTCAGTATCTCGTGCACGATGGCTGCGACGAGTAGACGTCGTTTGGGCACCACCTATTCCGCATTCGAGCCTCTGCCAGAATGGAAACAAGCGGACTTGAAGCGTTTGCATGTAGTGCGGGAGTGGATTGAGAGGGGTCAGGACCACGGTTTAATTGGTGGCGGCAACTTCTTGATGCGGTGTCGCCTGTGCGACGAGGTGTTTCCTGGTTCCAGATCCAGAGGAGTCGAGCACTTCACAAAACAAAAAGCACACTGCCCACGACGAACCGGCGAGATCTTGTAGCGATTGCAGCGGGCAGGGGCGACGCTTAAGGACCCTCTTTCACAAAGATTGGTCGCGGAGCATGCGCATGCGTTGGAAAGGCGATGGCTATGGATGACATGTACGGATCTGAGGGTGGTGTCCTGCCGGATGAGCCTGTCACACGGACACAGGTCCCTGCCACAGAGCAGGGCAGAGGTGATGCAGATGATTGTGCCGAGGAGCTGCCAGTGCGTACGCGTGATTCAGATGATGGGCGCGACCGCTTGCGGTCACTCGCCGGTATGACGGCTCCAGCTGCTGGGGTAGGGGCGACAACGACTCCTGGCAGGCAGGTTGCATCCACAAATGTGACGTTGAGAGTGAGACAGTCGACCTTGGATCCTTTCATAGGGAACAGGGTGCAAAAGGATCTTGATCGTCTCTTGGCACTTGCCATGTATCGAGGCGGTGTTTCCTTCAACTGGTTGCGGTTGAAGGAGACGCAGGATTACTGGGATAACATTGTCACACTCCTGCGTCCATCCATTGTGCCAGTGCCACGACTGCTGACATACGAGGGAGTCCGGACAAGGATGCTGGACATTATTTACCACGAGGTCGCAGCACTCATTGCCCCGAAGAAGGTAAAGTGGGCGGACACCGGATGCACGTTGATGACGGACGGGGCGACGGACCAGAGGAACAAGCCCATCATGAACTTCATAGCAGCAGGCCAATCTGGACCGGTACTCATTCGTACCATCAACATGTCAGACAGGGACAAGACAGGCGTCAGTTTAGCGGACATATGGGAGAGTGTCATACGAGATGACATTGGGGTCGACAATGTGAATGCGATTTGCACTGACAATGCGGAGGTCATGAAGGAGGCGGCCAATGTTCTGCAGTCCCMCCCCGACCCCGCCATTGCACTCATACCTTGGATCCAGTGCGCAGCACATTGCCTGAGCTTGCTGCTGAGGGACATTGTTGCACAGCCTTGGGCCAGATTGGTCATGAAGCAGGCACACAAGTTGGTGAAGTTCATGAGAAACAAACAGAGGGCGCTCACGCTGCATCGGGGCACAGAGCATGCGCTGGACCTCAGGCGATCGGCGGATACTCGGTTCGGGACTGCTTTTATGATGTTGGAGAGGCTGTGGGCATAGAGGTTCGAGGTGGTGTCATCGGATAAGTGGAGACGTGCACGATGGGTCGGCGATGCACGGACTGAGGAGCCAGAGGTCCGCAGACTATGCAGATCTGATTCATGGTGGCAGTAGGTGAAGAGAGTGATGGACGTCATGGAGCCGTGTTACAATTTCCTCAGGGACATGGACCGTGACGGGTCATCACCGCCTGGTCTGTGGGATTTGCAGTCAATCCTTGAAAGGAAGATTGATGCTCTGCAGTTGGTGGGGCGTGAGAGGGCGGCTGTCATTGAGATTGTGGCGGACAGGTGCGCGATGATGCATCAGCCTGCCTATGCTGCAGCTTATTTGTTGGACCCTCGTCGACGTGACGTGACTTTGTTGCGGGATCGCTCGGCCCCCGTTGTGCAGAGCGCACTCGACCACTTTGCACGCACCTTGGGTGGGGACTGGGGGGTGGATGAGATGCATACACTTTGGGAGGCTTTGTGGACTTTCCACTGTGACGATCCGCACTACTGGTCGGAGCATGGACCTCACTGTTGGGATCAGTTCGCCACTCGGGATGCAATATCGAAGACCATGCACCCAACGTTGTGGTGGAAGCTTCACGGCGACCGTTTCCAGAAGTTGCAAGCCATCACGAAGAAGGTGCTTGGGATGTGGTCCACAGCGACTCCTTACGAGCGCAATTGGGCAACCCACGACTTCATACACACGAAGAGTCGCAACAACCTTTCTACGGAGAGTGTTGAGAAGCTCGTGTTCATTCACTGGAACATGCAACTTCTTAATGCGAGCAGGCGGCCGGATAGTCATTATATCGACGTGTGGGCAGATATGGTGGAGGACCCCCCGGAGGAGATCGATGACGCAGATGTCATCCCCGTAGACGTGGGCGAGGAGGAGTGGGAGCACATGGATCAGGTTAACCGTCGCAAGGATGGTCGTAACCGGAGGATATCTGTATCGACGGATGATCGTGTGGCAGATGATGAGTCCCCATGGCAATATGCGGTATGGATGCACCGAGAAACGATGGAGCATACGCAGGCGGATAGGGGCAAAGGGAAGGCGGTCGCAGAGGACCAGCGTGATAATATGGATGAGTGGACGACATTGGACCCTCACACAGACTTCGACTCCTACGTGGATGGCAGTTTCCAAACAGTGAGGACCCTCCGAAGGAGGGCGGGAGGTCACGTTGATGTGGAGGGTCTATTGGCGAGAGACGATGCAGAGGAAGAGGACATTCAGCGCGGCCACGAGGACGTCCTTGTGACAACTTCACATCCACGGGCGACAGAGATCGGGTCATCAGGCGCTGCGACAGCACAGCGCCTCGTTCGTCCAGAGTCTTCTCATCATGCGGGGCCAGTCACCGTCGATTCCACAGGTCTGGAGGCACATGCTTCTGCCATGAAAGAGTCCCTTGCTTGCATCGACAACGTGCGCAGGACTAACGGGTCTTCAAAGGTTGTCGAGGACCATGGTGCGGTGCACGGGGCAGAGCAGAGGCTGCAGGATAGCATGGGTGATAGGTCAGCTCAGGCAATGGAGCAAAGGCCACAACACAGGGATAGGGTAGAGCAGGTGGTAGAGCAGCGTGCAGAGCGTTCGGGGGTCATACAGATTGTCGTGTAGACGGTGGATCAGAGGGTGGACGAGGTAGCATAGGACTTGATGGGGCAGAGGGTTGAGGAGAGGGTGGATCATAGCGCAGATCGGAGATTGGATGAGAGAGCACACCCGCCGGACAGGGAGGGCATTCGTCCCATGGTCGTGTAGACTGCCGAGCAGCGTGTGGGGGTCGGTTTGGCCGCGATGGTGGAGCAGAGGGTGGAGCAAAGGGTACATCCATGTGCTGCCTTAGGTGTAGATCCTAGGGTGGAGCAGAGGGTGGAGCAGAGGACGAAAGTTCGGGTGGATGTTAGTGTGGAGCACCACGTGGACCAGGGGAGATCACACATCGTTCGCGAGAGAGTGGGCGAGAGGATTGACGAGAGTGTTGTCGGAGATGAGGGCGGTGTGATGGTGGAGGAGAGGATAGAGGAAAGGGATAGGGAACCCCCGCAGCAGAGTAGTGCACGAGACATCGCACTCACCGGAGCTTCGTTCTACGGGATTCCCCCGCTACCCCCACGTGCCGCACAGTCCTCGCAGGGGGTGGATCTTGGTTTACGTGGCATGTCGTCACCACATCGCGTGGCAGCTCAGGAGCGAGCATCTAGAGGAGTCATGGGTGGTGTCGACCACGGCTCCAGCCAGGCGACACAGGGAGGGGGACGCAGCTTGTTATTGACAAGTCACGTACCGTCAACCAGTCCAGCAGGCATACCGCCGCGGCCCGGACCTGGAGCCATCCATTCACCTCACTCATCCACGCTCAGTGGGGGCTCTAGTCTTCCCACGTCAGTACGGCTGTCATCGTCCAGGACGATTTGCACGGCCATGCGCAGTCCAGTTGGGATGCCCCCGCTTTCGGCACGACGACCATCAGCCATCCGCGATAATGTCAAGACAAGTCGTGCCGGCAGGAAGAGGAGACAATGGGCGGACGACGGAGACGAGGATCCACCCCCCGCACGCCCCAGAGTAGGCACCAGGCGACCACGTGGCCGCCCACGTGGCTCGGGCAGAGGACGAGGCAAGCAGCAACAATCATGGGCACTGAATGCACTGGGGGATGCTGATGCAGAGACCGCTGATCTTGGGGAGGGGATCGCTGCAGGCGGCGGTGTCTCAGGCGGTATCCGTACTAGATCTCAAGTCGCCGGCAGAGAGAGGCATAAGACCTCTTCTCGCGTGGTGGACGATAATCCTGATGGTGATGATCACGGCAACACATCGGATGAGATGTCCGGCAGTGACTACGCGGACGAGACTCATCAAAGGGGTCAGGATGAGGGAGGAGATGATGACAGCTCCGATGGCACTGGCGACATGGCAGATTAGAGGGATGTGTTGTCGTCGAGTTCATTCTTTTGCGTGCATGGGGAGTTGTGACACAGTGGGTCTCAAGAGGTGGATGCAATGTGCATTTGTTGAGTGATAGTGGAGCATTGGTTGCAGCCATGGCGGCAGAGAGAAAGAGAGAGAGAGAGAGAGAGAGAGAGAGAGAGAGAGAGAGAGAGAGATATTTTGTTGTTGTACTCTATGTGCTGCACTGGTAGTGTGTAGCTTCTGTTTTCTGTCTCATTCCCTCGTCGAGCTTGAATCCGCATCAGCGATCTGCAACTTTGGTCAATGAATGAGTTTATCGATAAAGCTCGTGTGCATGTGTGTTTGTGTCTCTGTGTGGGACTGTGTGTATGTGTGCTCACGTGCATGTCACTGTGTGTGTTTGTGTGTGGATAGAGTATGTGTGTCTGTGTGTGTGTGTGTGGATGCCGCTGTCACTGCAACTGTTGCATCTGGCGGAGCGGGTGGTCAACGTGCTCTCCTCAGACGAAGCAGCTGCAGTCGCTGCATGTGCAGCATTTGCTGACTGCAGCAGCAGGCCCTCAATTTCAACTCCCCAAGCAATTGCCCCCCCCCCACTCAGGTTGACAAACACTCACACATGAATGCAAACCGGCACACACACACACACACACTTAGAAATCACAGCAGATTGCGGGAATCTCAGCAAGGCATACATTCTAGCGGCAAATCCCAGAAATCAGCAGTTTTCTCAGTCTGTGTTTTGGCGGGTCATTACATTTTTTGTGGTTCAGACATTTTTCTGAGCCCCGAGGTATGTCCGAATTGTATGGGTCCGGTGATGTCCAGTTGTCCAGTCATGTCCCGACCATCGGAATGTCCAGACTGGTGCAAACAAACGTCTGGGACTGTGTCGAAAAGTGTTCGGTGTCCGAGTCCGCGGTTGGCATGATAGTAATCAATGTTGTTTTTCTCTATGAGGCCCTCTATGTTGCTCTGCTCTCTAGGCTGCTCTCTACTTTATCCTCTACTGTACTGTCTATTGTGAACTCTATACCACTCTCTATTCTCTTCTCTCTACTCTATGCTACTCTCTACTCTCTGCTCTCTTTTCTGTTCTCTACTTTAAATTACTCTCTCTCTCTTGAGCTATCTATCTATCTATCTATCTATCTATCTATCTATCTATCTATCTATCTATTTTTTATATGTATTTATCTGCCTGCACTCAATGTCAGCACGAATCTCTCTTTCTCTCTCTAGAGTTAACAATCAATGTATCTATCTCTCTATCTATCTATTTTTTGTATGTCTCTAGTCTCTCTCTCTCTAGAGCCAGTCATAGACAGAGAATGGCATGACCGCTAGTACTGTGCCGACCATAGCTACATAGATCCGCCTTATCAGAGAGTTTTGCAAGGCCATGTTGTGTGTTGTCATATTTGCTATACAATCAAGAACGGCATGAATATGCCAAACTGTTTCGTCAGAATTTGACAGACTCATCAGGAGATTGAACCCCGACAGTCTGCCAAGGATGCAACTGACTGTAGTTTGCTTCTTTTTGTGCGGGCATTGCCCGACCGCGGGCTCTAAGCTAGTCGCATTGATTGATTGGTTGGTTTTGTGTGTGTGTGTGTGTGTGTGTGTGTGTGTGTCTGTGTGTGTGTGTGCGTGTGTGTGTGCGAGAGAGAGAGAGAGAGGCCATGTGCTCCTCCCCCCCACTCCTACTCTGTGAAATGACTTGAGAGATGTAGAATAAGTGGGAGATTTAGGGTGCAAGTGAAATACCACTACTGTTAACGTTATTTTACTTATTTGATCCAAGGTGCAGTCGGGGCTTTGCCCTTGCGTCTCAATCCGAGGTGCGGACCCTCATGGCTTATCGGATCCAAGCGAAAGACATTGTTAGGTGGGGAGTTTGGTTGGGGCGGCACATCTGTTTGAAAAACAAAACAAAACAAAAAAGACAGTCAATCAATCAATCAAT